TTCTTTTTTTTTTTTTTTTTCGTGTGTGTGTGTGTGTGTCGCTGCTGTCCGGTTTGGTGTCTGTGGTCCTCGTATGTGGGACTGGAAACTTCTTCTTTTTTTTTGGGGGGGGGGGGACAAAAGCTCCAAGCTATTTGTGGGGAGCAGCACGTGCTGGGAACCGGGCCCAGCGTCCCATGTAGAGTTACACAAGTCATTTGAGATACCGGGCCATTATACGGCTTTGGCTAAGAATCAATCTGGGAACTACTGAGGAAATTCAAGAAAATTAAAGGAGAGGTTGAAAAACTATGAATGGCTACTGGCCTCTTTTAGAATGCTCAGAACCCCTAGACTCCCAAACAAAACTCTCTAAAACTGTCCAACACTGTCTTATTCCCTGTTGAGCTCTCCCAGGCCTCACACCCCCAAGCGTGTGACGCGCAACCTCACGCCCTGTGCTGTCTTTCGTTCGAAGTGCTAAGAGTGCGGAAAAAAGGCCCAGAAAAACAGCAAGATGGGGTGTGCCAAGGATTTTTGGAAAATTGAGTGTGGGGACACAGACAGAACTGAAATCCCCCGTGTTGGCACGATGAAGTAAGTCGGTTGCTTTCGCGCGTCGCGGAATGCGCGTGCGGGCACAGCGCGAAAAGAGAAAAATCCAAATTCAATCCAAAAAGTATTGTCGAGCTTCCCACCGCGCTACGGATCTTCATTTAGAGCGGAAGGGCTTCGGTACACTCCACGTGTCCCGTTTCCGTATCAAGTCCCGACGTCGCTCATTGGTCAGTTCCAAGTCCGACGTGGATGGTCTCAGCCGCGTGGCTCTTTCCTTGTGCTCGTCTTCGCCCCGCATCCGGTAGTGGAAGCCCTTTGATTCGTAGCGATCGAAACGTTGGCACTCAGTGCACAGGGTTCGAGGCCAATGGGGCGCCACTTCCGTCCAGGGAATGACGATCAGCTCATTAAATGACAACAAGACTGAGTAGGGTGGGAAGTGCGTATCGATAATGACAAAGCCCGCATCCACGAACCCGAAGCAACGATTTTCGGGAGGGAAGTAATATTGTCCGCCGATCCGTGCGACAACTTCTCGTACGTCCCACTCGCATACACGTGTCCTTTCCTCGTTGTAAGGGAACGGGCGCGTTGGCGAGGGAGATACGGAAGGCTGGCACCCGATCGAGGAGCGGCCGTTAGTCCACATATCAATCAATCAACAGGAGTTTGCAAAAATCCTCGAGACGTCATCAAAAAGCTCAATCGAAAAAGAACTAACTAGTATTTTCCTTCCTTTTGACATGAGAGAAGCATCTTACAGAACCCGCACAACCATGCATTCATCGGGTTGGAGTTCCGTGGGATCAACCCGCGACTCAGTTTCAGCAGACCAGATCAACAAAAACACAAGGCGCCTGGCTTTTTCGAGGCTGCCCCATAGACTGTCTGCAGATGTCGTGCAACATAAGGCAGATGGCATGCGCAGTGCATTGAGAACGACAAATCTAAACACTCTTGCATTCTCGAACAAAATTCCGTCGAGCTCTGGGTCTAATCAACGTAGAAATATAAGAATTTCTATACATACATTCACCGTGGAAGGTGCGAAAATGACAAGGGCGCACAAGTCAGAAATCAATCGGGGGATTGTACACACGCATCCACCGTTCACAAGACAAGATGATTGAGTTCTTTGCATCTGGGGATTACCCAAGAAACTAATGGAAGAGTTCCAGAAGAAGTTCTTCTTCGCAGGAAGTCACGAGAGTTCACTTCGGTTCACAAGAGAGACAAACCCATAACACATCGTGATTCAAGTCAGAGAGAGAGAGAGATGGGGGGGATATACGAGAAAAGCCGAGACAGGAGACACCAGAATTCAACAAGGGAGCATTCGGCTTCGCAGCCATGAACTCACACCCAAAGAAATGATCCGCAATCATGAAGGCGCATTCGCCGTGAAATTCTAATATGGCCCCAGGCCAATCATCCACCCAACTCCAATTACAGATCCTCATACCCGCACCGACGATCCCGGCCGTCGCGTGCTAACTTCCGCCACTGCGATCGTCACCCCGCTGATGCAGACTCGACTCGGCTCGCCCGGATCCCACAGTCCGTCGTGACAATCAAGCGCGCAGTCGACCAACCTACAGTCAGCCCGGCAGGACTTTTCGAATCGCACCAAACGCATCACCTAGCCACTGCTTCCCGGAAGTTGGCTTGCGAGTGGAAAACATAAGAGAGATTTGTGGGCGCACTTGCGGAATTTATAATTGCGAGAAAGAAGGTAGACGGGGGAGAAGACAGAGGGGAGAGCGAGGTGTAAGAGGAGAAGGTTCAGCGAAAGGTGCTCAAGGGAAGCCATGTTGATCCTTCGGAACCCACTTTTCGGCCAATCAGATTCGTCGCGCAATAGGAAGATCCTCTTGCTCAACGCGTCTGATTGGTGAGCAGGGGTAGTCGGAGGATCAACCGGGCTTCGTGAGCCAAGGTTGAAGAGCGAGAACGGGCGAGGCGCAAAAAGCAGCGCGAGACGGGTCCAAGATTCAGAGGATCAAGAAAGGAGAATGGGCGCGTAAAGAGTAGAGAGAGAAAAAAAAAACGGTTGCGATAGGAGAGGAAGAGGAGGAGGGGAGAGAGAGAGAAGAAAGCACGGGAGAGAAACGATGCGGGAAATAAGGAGGAGGAAGCTCGCATGTGCGCCAACAGCAAGAGAAAAAGGCACCAAAACAGTTACAACTTACCTATGAATTCAAAAATTGAAATCGCCATATCCGCGCGCGAAAGTCGACGTGGGAAAAGAAATTTCTATGCCTATCCGTATTCTCACAAAATTCCTAAAGTTTTCTCCGACGTGACTGAGAACATTCATGCAAGGAAAAAAATACGTCGGGCTCCGCTTATTCCGTAATTCCTAACTGTCGAGCCTGATTCCCAGTGCTCTCGCTAAGGCACGCGTAATTTCCCATGCATTTCCTGAATTACAAAAAACAGAATTTTAAGAATCAATAGAACTTCCGAAAATGGGGGCCCAAACAAAGCGCCTGAAATCAAGAAAAGCGACGGGGGTTTTGTGGGGTCGGTATGATACAAAAGGGGGTATTGAGTCAAGGGGTACGAAAGATAGCACGGGGTCGGGAAGAGGTTCGTCACATATGTGATACGCAGGGGGGTCCAAAATTATGCGATCTCCTAATTGCATGAAAGCTCGAACAAAGGGAGTAGGAGGAAACGAAGAAGCAGGAAGAAGTACAAGGAACGAGGGGAGTGGGAGGAGACGAAGAAGCAGGAAGAAGTAGGAGGCTTAGATCAGCACAATGTCAGCGGAGAGAACTGAGCCGGGGTATGTGTTGACGACAATATTCGTGGCAAGATCTGCATGTCGGCTCATGCTGACTTGGATCCCCATCCTCTGCAGTTTTATCATATGCAACCCCCTGCCCTTCAAACTTCGGAGATTGTCCAGGTGGCACCATCATGGTCTATCAGGTCTCTGTGTGCTCTGCACCCCCAGTCCAGCGCAGTCCATTGAATCAGAGCATAAGTTGACGTCATCGTCAATGGCGTGATCTTCGCAAAACTGCTGATTCGTACTGCTCGGAGGACACGCGGCGGTTTCTCCCGTCGATCGCGATGCTCAGAAAGGTCATAGACAAGAAG